GCGCGTACTTGGTTGGTCCAGCTACGCCTGGTTGGCAAATGGACCTCCGATGGGTTGATAGGTGAATCAGTTGATGGCTGACTTTTGCTAAAAGTGACCTGGAAAAATTCGTTGGAAAACAAATTAGCATTTTTTTGGCAAATAATCATGGATTTGAAAAAGACTACATATTTTAAAAAAACTTGTATATGAAAATTTCAATTTTTTAACATATACATATATATTATATATTGGGCAAAAATATGAATTTGGAAAATGTTCATGAATACGGGAAACAATTTATAAATTTCAAAAAAGTGCACATATATGAAATAGTTCATAAAATTTTAAAACCTTATGGTTTTGAAAAAGAAAGTGCAAATTTGAAAAAAAAAGTGTGCGGATTAGTAAAAAAATAATGGATGTTTCTTTTGCAAAAACTGGAAAATATCGCGGATATGAAAAAAAACTCACATATTTGAAAAAAGTTTGTGGGTTTTGAAAAGTAAACAAAATTGAAAATTTCACAAATTTAGAAATTTGTAATAAGCTTGGGAAATTTGTAAAAAAAATAGGATTTGGGAAAAGTTCATGAAATTGATATTCACACATTTTAAAAAGGGTAAAAGGATGAAAAAAATAAAGAGAAGATAAAAAATAAAAGGAGCAAAACTCGTGCTGAACAAAAAACAAAGAAAATCGTTCAAAAAACATCTAATCGTTCGTTGGAAGGTCCCCCAAAACCAATGCTGGTTCAAATTTTACGCTATTAAAAACGAAAAACAAATAGATGGGCCGAGCCCAAGGTGAAGATGAGGTGCACGCTAGTTACCAAGTGGCCTTTAAGTGACATTTAAGGCGCCAAACAGGGCGTGGGACAAAAAGGCTGAAATCAGGGTTACCCCTTGGAAAGGTCGCTCACATCTTCCTAGGTTCGACAGGTGGCTTATTGCATGTGTCGCAACCTTGGAGTTTTTCCTCTTTTTTTTTCATAGATTCATTTATTCCAAATGTTTTACCTCTTAAATCGCGCATTCAAAGCGTGAATCGTTTTCACCGTTGAATTTCTCGTGTCGAGATCTTTGAAACTAGATCCCATATTAATAAATTTTGAGAAACTTTTTTCATGAAAACCTCCCAAAAAAACAAAGCCGGAAGCACGACTTTTTCCCACTATTTTTCTATTTCTGAGAGGCACAACTGTGCCCCTCCATGTGAAGTAAATCAATGCCTCTCACAAAAGAAGAAAAAACACGTTTTTCTCTCTCTTTCCGAGAGGTTGTGCCTCTCGCAGAAGTGAATGTTTGTGTTTTTAACTGTTTAGTTTTCTTAAAATTCTGTTCGTAAACTAAAAAATGCTCTAGTTTTTCAAAAGATGTTTGTGTTTCTCAAGAATTTTGCAGGTTTTCTAATTTTTGTTCATAAACTAAAAAAAGCTCGCTTTTTCAAAAATTGTTTGGCCCTTTTTTTCGAAAAAAATCATGTTTTAGAAACATTGTTCAGAATGACAAAAAATGTTCCCACGTGGAACTTTCCCGCAAACTCAAGACCGGACAATTTTGGCACCTGGGAACTATGTTTTGCAAATATGCACATTTTTTACAATTTTTCAAAAAAATGGAAACAAATGCAAACAATTTTTGATATTCCAAACACTTTTTGAAAATTGGAACATTTGATGAAAATCCAAATAATTTTTAAATTTCCGAACATGTTGAAAAGCGAACAGTTTATGTCATTGCAAACAGTCTGTTGAGAAAAAGCGAATATTTTTTGAATTCTTTTCAGAATGCTAATAGTTTTCAAAATTTTCATTTTAGAAAAAGTGGTACAAAAAGTGAAAAAGGAAAGAAAAACCAATAAAGAAACAAACAAAAGAAAAGGCATTTCAAAATTGAAAACAATATTTTAGGTTTGGTGGTTGCTCCAGTTCTTATAATCCGCCTTCGATAATTAAATATTGAAGCTCATCACCTCGTGCGGTGAATGATGAGCCGGACAAGTGGGTGGTGCAGTGTTCGATCCCTCTTTTTGGTGGATTTGTTTTCAGTAATTTTTTCGCTGTTTAGATATGGTAGTGGTTGCACAACACAATCCTCCTAATTGAACATATAAACCCTTCTACGCAACCCGCCATTCTGGAGGCCTTGCGCGCGCTGAGCTTCGTCGTCTGTTTGATCTTTTACTGTTGATCGATTTTGTCTGCTGGCGTTTGGTCAACCGTTGGTCCTTCTGTACATCAGCAGCAACTTCATAGGTCAGTGACGGGTGGGGCTCGTTGGCTGTGGGTCGAGAGAATTAGGTGGTTTTGCTTTAATTTTGCGTACGTGAGCGAATTTTACTGCAGTGGGGACGACGAGAACGTGGGGTGGAACCCTATCAGCCAATCCCTCGTGCTCCTCGAGCCCCGCGTCCATCCTCCTCCCCCGCTCTCCACTCCCCACCCTCCCCCGCGCAGCCGCCGCCTCTCCCCTGCCCTCCTCATCTAGAGCCCTTCCCAGCCGACGGAGGAGCCCCCTTCCCAGCCCTGCGTCGGAGTTCAGAGGCAGGGGAGGTGTGGATCGATGATGGTGCAGCAAAGAAGAGGATGTGAGATCGAGGAGGGAGCGAGCCGTTGCAGAGGAGATGGGAGAAGGGGGTGCGCGGTGGTGAGGCATCGGCACCGGAGAAGCAGATCCGTGGTGCGCGGTGAAGCGGGATACGTGACGCCGGCCGGCGCTCGCGGGTACGTCCTGCAGGATGACGCCGCAGCTCCAGTCTTCTCCTCACGGTGGTCCATGGCGCTATCACTGTCGTCCTCAGCAGGAGGACCGCGGGACGCAGAGGCGGCCGGCTCCATCCTGCTCTTGTGCTGCCGTACCTCTGCCTTTCTCGTCCGCCGCGCCCCAGGCTAGTAGGTGGACGGCGCGGAGAGTTCTTGTCACAAGACGCAGGAGGATGGCTCTCGCCGACGCCACGCTCTGCTCCTCTCGCCTCTGCCGCACTCTGCTCCGGCTTGCCACCGAAAAGGCTGTGCTTTCGGTCCAAGGAGCCGATGGGTCGCCGGATCCGTCGGCCACCCATGGACTTCGCCTGGAACGCGGGCTGGGAGGCGGCGCTGCCAGCCTGCAACGCCAACCCCGATCCCGACCAACCCGGCGCCGCAGGGGGTGGAGGCGGAGTCCATGATGCTGGTCTCCGGGCCGCGCGTCGCCGTCTCCGGGCTGAGGCGAGCCGACTGCTGCGCAGGTCGTGCTCTCCGTCGTGTCAAGTTACCGTCCTTCGCTGGTCTTGCCATGGATTAGTCTGTTGCGGTCCGTAAGTTGACAAGTGGATTCATAAGGTCGGATTGATAAGAATCTGGATAGGAATCCTTGAGTTGGCTCGGATTGATAAGCACTAGGAATCGTGCAGCCCCCAAATCCTTGAGTTGGTTCAGAGTTAGCCTTGGCTGCTCCCCTGCTTGAAAATGGCCCTGATTTAGGTTTAGAGCTAACCTTTCTTAGGTTATTTCACACGCTATGACTGAAGTTTTTGTTCCCTGCTAAAAAGCCTTCATTTTTGTTCCCTCCGATCCAGGTTCATTTTTGTGTACTGCTCCCTGCTAAGAAACCTTCATCTTATAATGCTTTTGTTAGCTCTGTCTGAACATTTTCTTATTACCCTTTCAGTGCCTGCTCTCATGAAGATGAATGTGTCCTGTTCGTCAATGCCGGTGGGTATATTTGAAAAAACTGCAAAGGAAGCAGAAGACAATGTGCTCCTGAGAGAGATGGTAAGCAGTGCCATCAATCTTGACAATTAATTTGCTAGAATTATCGCAAGACTTGTCAAAACTGAAAATTTTGACTGCATCGGGTAAGATTGTCTGAAGAAAGCAACTAAAACTTCAGAGAATATATTATTGTTTATATAAACTGAATACTGGTGTACTGTCAATATTCAGTAGAAGAAATTATACTTCTGAGTATATTGTACTGTCAATATTCAGAAGTAGAAATTCAGTGTTGTACCACTAAAACTGTGCTGGTTCCTCTTTGCTGTGCAATGTTAACATCAGATTATCCAATGTTCCATATTTCAGCACAATATTCAATACCCTTATGTCCCGCACAATGCACCGCACAAGGTCCTTGCTCCCTTCCTTGCTGCAGGTAGCACCCTCCCTTTTGTTCAGTTTCAGTATGCAAGCGAACATGTGCAGTTCATGTGCACTGATTCTCAAAAACTGAAGCATTTACATGGCCATGTTGGTTTCTTCAGTGAGGAGACGAGAGAGGAGATTGCTGGATCTGGAAATGGAGGTCAGCACCACCTACAGGACAAGAGTGCTGCTCCTCTCCGACTCTTCAAGGTCTCTCATGCTCTGCTCTTGCTCAGGCTGAATTAGAAGGTTAGGTGTGACAAAAAAACTGAAACTTATCTCCTAATATCCCTCCATTTTTGCAAAATCAAATTTGTGTCAGCTATATGACCCATGATCATACACTTGTTTCAAATAATCATACGCTTATCAATTTCCACGGACAGGTTAATGGTGTATACCTGCTTCTGAGCTGCCATGCAAAGACTCTGTTATCTCTTGAATTTATCCACTGCCAACTTTATCCTGCAGGCATGGATAAAGTTTGCATTAGTCTTTGCCAGCCAGGTTCCCAAAACTACAAGTTCCAGTCCTTTTATTCTGCCTTGGTCATAATGTTAATTTTTCTGCCATATGTTAAATTTGTTGTCATATGTAGGCCATCAGATAACTTGTGTATGTTCATCTAGCTGCAAAAGAAACTTATGACTTGTGTCATCGGTAAAAAAAATAGTAGACCTGTTTACAATTGAAAGGACCAGGCACTGCCATTTTCTTGCTGTGTTATACTCTCAATGAATCTTAATTATTTCTGATATGTTTCAGTTATTTTATTTCAACAAATGACAAGACTAATCTGTCATTCACAATGTTTTTGCAGCTAGCATTAAAAGCTGGTGTGTTTTATGACAGAGTGACAAATATGACTATTTGGGGAAACCATTCAACAACTCAGGTGAAGATATGATTACAAACATGGCTACTCTATTGGTAGTGCTTTGGAGTACTGATTTGATGATTTCCACTTGAGTAGGTTCCTAATTTCTTGAATGCCAAAATTAATGGGAGGCCAGTAAAAGAAGTCATCAAAGATACAAAGTGGCTAGAAGAGGATTTTCCTACAACTGTTCAAAAGGTACACAATTCCTGATTGATTGGGACAACTAAGAGAATATTGTGTACTGATTGATTGATTTCTTGAATATTTTGTATTGGCTTGAGGTCATGCAGCTGCTCTCGTTGCTTACGCAGGTACACGGAGAAGGTTGTGGTGCCGGCGAGGCTGTTGCTCCCGGTGTCAGAGAGGGTATCGCTGACCGATGCCGCCGGCTTGCCCAAGGTGTCCTGCACGTCTTCATGACCAGCCATCTCCCCAGGTGAATCCCTTCCCTTTAAGAAAATCTCTCTGGCTAATTTGTTTGTTAGGATTGCAGAACGTGAATCTTCCTTAGTCATCACCAAATTGACATGCTCTGACTAACTGATAAACAACAAAGTATTGAATAGTGCTACTCGAATGGAGTATGGAATGATTTAGTAATCACTTGTATGCAAAAAGAGGTGCACAATTTGGTGTTGTGAGAATTGAACTGGAACGGAATTTTCATGCCTATGTTTTTTTTTCATGTCGACCTATCTCCAGTCGTATGCAGATCCATAGTGGATCAAGCGGAACTAGCACATTTGCTATACAGATTGCAAAGTGCCTTGGAATCAAGGTTTTTTCTCACTGCAGGTTTATTGGTTCAGATAGATACAGTATATATGGTACAAAGATGTTTTCCGAAAGCAACTCTGTTATGCCGCTCTAGAAAGCCAAAGAGAAACTAACTGCTTGCGACGTTTAAGGTGTGGACATATGCAGAAACTACAAAACCTTTGTAGCACGTATCGAAGAAGAAACTAATGGAAATGGTATTATCCTGCCATCCTCTTGTGACGCTTGATGCCCTGATGCAAAAGTAAAATAAAATTATTTCGCTTTACCAAGTTATACCCGTCAATTTCATATACATTCTAACTGTAATATGTGGAATAGCTCTACCAAACCTTGTTGTCATTCTGTACAACGTAGGCATATCTTATCTCCAAGGCAATCTGGATAGCTTAGCAGTTGATGGTAGACTTTTCATCGTTGGTTTCATGTGAGGCACTGTAATTGAAGTGAACCTGCAGGCGATGCTTGCCCGAAGACCGACTGTACAAGGTTGTATCGATCTATCTATATACAACCATGCCTCTTTCAGTTTTATGTGTTTTTTCCTGGTAACACATCTTACTCTCTGAACACAATGCTCATAGGACTGTTGATGCTTTTCTACTGTTAGAATTTCATGCTTTGTTTTTCGGCAACTGATTATGTAGTGCTATGATGTAGCTTTGTGTCTTCTAAATTATTTTTTACTCTCAAATAATTTATTAGACAACGGAAGAGCTAAGTGGTACTTTTGTGTAGACTTACCTCCATTCACCTGATTCCTATTTCAGCATCTCGCACAATGTATTCAGAGAGATGCTGCCACTTGTGATACATCTATGTGAAGCCAGATCCAGAATGAGTCGACAGAGTTGGGAGTAGCGATACAACATCTGGGGGCTATGCTTTTTGAGCTTGGACGGACAATGATGACGCTTAGAATGGGGCCATCTCCTGTATGCATTTTTCTACTATGTCACTATCACACAAGTGATTCACAAGGTTTAAGTATTCTGATAGCTTTTTTATTTTGTAGGCTAATGCTTTTGTAAATGCTGGGCATGCTGTTTATACAAACCCCACTGAACCAAGTCCAATCATAGTTCAGAATACCTGTATAGCTTTGCTTTCCTATCATGAACTGCTGACAACTTTGTTTTGGGCTATCATGCTAGCATGCACTGTAACATATATCACTGTGTATTAACATGCTACCTAAGTATCTATTTCTTTATACTTTATTATCAGTCCTTAAACAAATTTTACGTGCATGATTTGAATGCTTGGTTTGCTGTCGCCCTTTGTACCATCGGCGCAACGAGTGATTAGCTGCTTTTTATGTGTGAGAATGTTAGGAATGTTTCTATATGTGCCCAGATTTATTTGGTGTGCCTGCTATGTTTCACTTTCACTGCTCTTTGTTGAATAAATTGATAAATTCTTGATTCTTTTTATGTTATTTCTTTACATGAAGGATCCAGATTAAAATATAATATGTTATTCTTGCTGGCTTAGTTTAAACAAATGCATTTTAGATCACCTACTTCTCAGTTCATGATTTTTGACTCGGTGTGTTGCAGTTGATTACCGGAACACGCTCACCCAAAGTGTCGATCTGCATCCATACATAATTTACTAAAAGAAATTTTTTGAGTTGTTTCTGCATATGCCTTTTGGTATTTACTAGGTCACCTTCAAGATTCGCTAACTAACATACATATCCTATCTACGCTTTTCACATCCATATAATGATGCCATGTTTTTCCTTTTGAGTAGACGATTCTTTATTTATTAACCTATACATCAATATGTTGTTTCCATTGATCTCATAGTACTTTTTGTGTGTTTCTTTATGTTGGGCTGAAAACTTATTGTCGGTTCAAGCTATTTTTTAAGTCATGTATACTATGGAAGTTGTGTAAAAGAACATTTACTAAAATGTTATGTAAAACCTATGGCTCAAAGCTAAGCTTCGGTAAATTGGAATATTTATAGATATATTTGGGAGTTTCATTAGATTAATTTGGAATTTCAAACTAATCCATTTAATTATTTGAGAGCACCAGCAACACAATTTTTGAAAAAAAAACATGCCCACCAAACGAAGGGCATGGGTATGTTGTCCATGTATGCAAATCTCTAGGAATGAGAAACCCTCAAGAACTACTAGGAAGGAGAAAGCCCTCCACGTCTCCCAGCCTGACTATGCCTCCGTACGTTCCCTCTTTCGATCTGTCTCTCCCCTTCCGGTCCGTTCCGTTCCCCCCTCACGGCGCCCGTGTTTGTGTCTCCTGGCCTGACGTATGTTGACGTATGTGCGTGTGTGGTTCTTCTGCAGCTCGCGCCGAGGATTGCTATGTCCAAGTGGAAACAGTCTATGTGGCGCTCGTAGGTAGAAAGGTGCAGGAAAGAATAGGGAAACTTCTGTCATTTTCTTTGGTCTTTGAAAAATAAATGGTGATATGGGCTGATGCATTGCTAAATTACATGATACAAATTCACTTCTCTTTTTTGATTTTTGGTTTACTTCGTTGTGCTACAATGGCTCTCCTAGGAATGTTCTTCCATGCTTTGATGTGCACAATCGAGAAAGTGCATGCATCCAGAAACCAAATAGGATTTTTTTTATGTGTTATCTTCTCATAAATCTTGTGCTCGTCCAATAAGAATAAGGTTTGGTGGTATTGCTTTTGTCTATCACTCGGTAGATTTCAGACTTCAAGCTAGCTGCAGTTATTTCAGGTTATATGTGCAAATCCTTGGTGTGACATCATTGGTAACTGATCATGAATACGTTGCAATCTGATATGTCTATTCTTGATTTGTGGTGCCATGGTGTAAAAATTGGTCCTAAAGATACATGATGTTTTTGTACAAAGTTGAGATAGTTATTTTTGAAGGAGGGAATATTAGATTATTTTGTTCCTTTTTAATTTGGTTCTAAAGATATAGTTTTAGAGTGATCATTTTGCAGCAGCCAAGCTTGCCGTTGTTGTAAATAATTGTGCTGTTGTCCTCAATTCACTTTCGGTTTTTTAATGCTACAAGCGTTATTGTTCCAGTTTTTTCAGTTATTGATCATGCCATTATGAGACTGAGTAAATTTTGAACATGTTCCATGTGAGAGAAATAGCATGTTGATTTCATCTTAAAATAATCATAGCCGAGGGATGAGATTTGTAACTGAGGGTCATGTGCAGAGCTGGAGGAAGAAGTTGCGAGGCTTGGAACTCTCCTTGTGAAGGGCTCAGGGACAGCAGTGAGGACTATGCCTCTTTAGTTGTAATTGTGATACTCCTGATGTGCAAGTAAACACTCCTGTGATACTCCTTATGCTAAAATGTTGGTTGTTAGTACAGAGGTGGTGACATTGTGACATTATTTGGTTCTCTGGTATTGATTTCATGATTTGTGGTTAATACATGACGTAATACAATCCACATTGCATTATATTTCCAGTTACATCTCCTACTTACTCACTAATAACATTCTTTCTAATTCGCTTCTTGCGCCATTGGCGCAACTGTGTCATCTAGTTGAACATATAAAGGATGAGCCAGTGTGCCCAACTAGCGGCACTGGCCACGTCTCCTTTTATTCGCTATAGTGTAGAGAGAAACGAGAAGCTGGCAGCGTGGGGGCACAAAGAAAAGGGGAAGCGGCATTGAGAAGAGGCAAAAATAATCAGACCTAGCCCGCGCCGCCGCAGCCGCCTCCTCTCCTGGCGTCACCGCCGCCTCGGCCTCGTCCGCCTCCTCTCCTGCCGCCGCCGCCTCGGCCTTGTCTGCCTCCTCCACTGCCACCACCTGCGCCCGCGCCCTCGCAGCCACCTCCTCTCCTACCGCCGCTTCCTCGGCCTCGTCTGCCTCCTCTCTCTTGCCGCCGCCGCACCAGCGGCCTTTGAGCCCCCTTCTCCACCTCTTCACCGTGGCCACCTAGCTTGAGCTTGAGCCGAGGGGTGACTCAGCAGGACGCCGGGGGGCACGGGCGCAG